CAAATGGTCAAGTGTCTACACCTCACTGTTTAAAAGTATGTGTGAACAAGAGGAAGGGGGAGAGAGTGAGAGAAAGGTTAGAGAAGGGAGATGAAAAAAGACAAATAGACAGTTCTGGTATTAAGACAATGGGTGTGGGTTCAAGTTGGGTTCAGGGCTGGGGCCTACATCCATCAGGCCAGGTCAGTCTTTGGCCAAGATTTCAGGCCCCTTGAAATATTCTACTCACTCCCTACCTTCTAGCACATCATCTGACAAAAAATACTATTTGCGCACGAGAAAAGCCCATTCATGATCTTCAGGGGATAAACTCTACGCTGCTTATTAAATACGACGTGATCTCAGACAGACCAGTACACTTATGCTCCCAGTGGGCTATAATTAAAGCCGTGTCCACCCTGTCTGCGCAGCACATTGTGTTCCATCTGTACCTACACAGGAGGCGTTCAGGCACAGTAGTGAACCATAGTTTGCCTGAGTAGAGTATAAACATGTATGAAAAATAAAATTAAACAAACAAATACACGTGAAGCATAAAAATATGTTCTGACTCATGCTTGTAGCGTGACTAAAACTTGATCTGTTACGCTGCCTGTGTAGAAAGTTGGACTGAATGAAACAAGAGCTTTTCTGTTCCACCAGACATGTGAGCGGGACGACTGAACAACGAGGCTGAAGCTCTCTGCGTCAGCATGCTGTAATCAAGAAACACTTTAGTATTTTGCTGCTTGTTGGTCTAAACAGCTCCAGTGTCTGCAATACAAAAAAGGTCTGAGTATTACAGAAAATAACTTAGTTTTTTTGTAGAAGTCAAATTACAGACACTATTTATAATTTAACAACTCAACAGTTATATTCAGTTTTATGAAATGCCATATTAATTTATTTATACCATGTTTTTTCCCTTTCCTAAATCACATACTAATTTACACAACATGACGATAATTATCTGTAATTAAATGTATTTCTCTTTCTATAAAGGTTCATGGCCACACTATCAATGTGGGGGTTTTTTGTTGTAATTTTAAAGTTATATTTAAAGTTATATTTATGTTTACTTACAAATTAAGCAAGCTTTTTGTTTGTTTGTTTGTTTGTTTGTTTTAAAGTGTGCACTTGGTGACATTTTAACACCTCATAGATACAAAGTCGTGACCATTTGTGACGTATTAGTTGGAAAGCTCACCTGCTGTGTGCAGGCTTGGACCAAGTTTGGTGGGAACATATTTCTGAAATGAGAAGACACAGTGATTTAGAGATGGCGTTGGTGAGGTACAGTCACACTTTAAGAATATCATTGTTATTATGGGCAGGCTACCTGATCAGATCTAAGAAGGCATCAGCAGGACTGACTTGCTCTATGGTCTGCTGCTTTCCAAACTCATCTTTTGATCCTTTTCCTGGGTGGATGATTAGCACGATTATGATACCG